TCGTCGGGGTGCTGTCGGAGGACTCCCCTCGTGTCCATTCCATCAGCTCTGTTCGGGAGATTGGAAAAAAATCTCGGAGCGTTGAGGGACAACGATGCTGACGAGTTGCCTCTCCAGATCTCCAGATTTCCGAGATCTACAGGTTCGACTCGCTCCCCGGGAGAAAAAATCCCCCCAGCTCGCTCTCTGCTCTTCACCAACAACAGCATCATCATCGCCGTCGAAAATTCGGCCCTTACAGCGGAGTCGATGGATCTCTATGGAACATCCGTCTTTGGTGAGATCCTTTTGCAGAACAACAAGAACGACATCGCCGGCTACAGCTACACAGCGTGACGTTCTTATAATGGAATCCGCTATGACACCATCGACGCCTTGCTCTCGGTCATGTAGGAGAATATCGGGGCGAACAGATGCATGGCTTTTTTTATGTTTACATTCGACCACGCCTACGCTCCATGATCTATCGCAGAGAAGATCTACACGGATCCGCAGCTGTTGCCAATGAGTAATTAGAGACGTCCAGCGGACACCTTCGGTCTCAATGCACTCACCGTAGTTCTGGAAGTTGGCCGGTACCGGTGGCTGTGACAATTTCCGTTCAGTTTCCTGTTGAGGTGGCACAGTTGACGTATTCCGTCGCTTGAGTTGGAATCGGCCTAGTCCGCGGGTAATGTACGAAGTTGCGCTCTGCGGACCACCGGAGCGATTAGGAGACCGCGGAGGCAGAGTCGACGAGGGACCTTGATTCCAGTTTATGGAAAATATCGATCGATGCTGATTGGCTGTAGAAGCAGCGGTTCCCAGAGGAGGTAGCGAAACCGTGTAGTCGGTTCGCGGGGGCGGAGACCGGAACCCTGAGCCGAAACGTCCTCCGACGATCCGTTCCCTGCTGAAGAACGAAGTCGGAGTTGTTTCTCCATCGCTGAGAGCTCCCGCGGGAGACTTCGACTTCCGAGTTCGGTCTTTATTTTTCTTCTCGGCCTTGGCTCTCTGTCGCTGCTCCTTCTCGGCGGCTTTGAGTGCCGCCTTCTCCTCTTTGCTCAGCTCGGCCTGTTGTTGCTGTTGCTGCTGCTCGGACTGTTGATCTCTTTTGCTGCTCGACGTCTTGACGTTGAACGCCGAGGACAGTCGGCCGAAGGCCGTACTGCTAGACCAACTTGACGAAGATTCCTTCTTACCGAGCCTGTAGCCGCCCAACGTATTCGATCGTTGTCGGTCCCTCACTCGAACATCTCGCATTTCCCCCAAAACGTCTTCGTCTTGGGGAGTCTGAGCCTCCACGGTCCCGGGCTCACATTTTGCAGAGTCTGCTGCTGCTGCTTCTGCATTCTTCGCTTCTGCTGCTGCTGCATTCTTCGCTTCTGCGGCTGCTGCGCTAGCGTCCTCTGACATTTTTTCCTTCTTGCTCTTCAAATCGACAGCGGAAAGTTTTTCATCTATGGACGGACTGGCCAATGGTTGATCAGAGGTTGACGATTCCAATGAGCGCATTGTCTTCGAGATGAACAAGGTTCGATGAAGCGTCTGGGTCGAGTCCAAGACCTTTGAGGTTTTGGATTTATGACTGGTTGCGTATTATTGCTTTTGCGGCTACTATCATTGGGCTACGCGAATTGCGTCTAGTTACTTTGTTCCTTATGAGGAGGAAGGTTCGCAACGGCGATGACTCCCTCAATATGTATGTATGTACAATGTCGTTGACACGTCGGCTTGGTGATCTGTTGGAAAGGGGCTCCTTTCAAACTCTATTAGCTCGAGGTCCCGTCGCTCTCACTTTCATAAGACGGAATCCAAAGGTTTCTCGTCGTCGTCGCGCCGTCATATGGCACTCAACTTTTAAAGCTAGAGTACTGCACTGCTCCGCCGTCGACACGATACCACCACCGATGTGTGGGTGATATAGGTTAATTCCTTAAACAGATCTTCCAAGAGAGATCGATCAGAGAAGAATTAGTTCCTAAACACAGGACCTAGCCCGTGGTTCATCGGCAGCGACGAGTTCAACGGCGACGACAACTATGATGATTGATGATGATGATGCTGATGAGGATTAGAGAACTCCCGCGGAGGAACAGCGAGAGAAATTTTCCTTTTTATGTACACGGATGATGGAGATTGATTTCTCTTTCGTACCGCTAAAGTGGACTGAGCGTGTCAGCCGGGAATGCTATGTCCGTCGAGTTGCCGGGGGTCGATGTTGGCGGGAGACGAGATTCGAACGAGACTTGAAAAAAGCCTTGCCGTCTTCCAAGTCCAGCTGTCCATCATTTTGGCTGGCGAAAGCGGGCTCAGTTAGAAGACGTCGAGCGGAATTGTGCGTGATCCAGAACTATCACCGAATTTATATGGCTCTGGGATGGCCAACTCGTTCCCCCTCTTCTCCGAGTCTTCGCGCGCTCGATCTGTCAATTGGGCAGCGAGGAAGAGTTTCTCGGAGTCTTTTCGGGAATCGATTCCCCGGAAGATTCTAATGAGCTCAACTTTCACCCGAGTTCCGCTCGCTCAACAGTTCGATTGCGTACTATGTAGCTTCGTCGAGCGGCTCTTCGTTGCTTCTATGGCGTAAGCGGACAACTACCGACGATGACGATGATGATGACGATGGCGGCGACGACGACGACAATCTACACTCCTCGATGGTCAGTCCAGCCGGACGCGATAGTTATGCACAACGCTCGCTTGAACGTGACTAGTTAAAGAGCTCCTGACTAGTTCGGATTCTGACTTTCTGGAAACGTTCGAACGGACCTGCACAACAGTCCGTCTGAGCCTCCGGGGATATTCTCGCGAGACGGACGACCGTTCGGTCGACCGGTCGGTAGTTCAGTCAGCCAGTCAGTCCTTCAGTGAGTCTGTCAGTCGGCACCTGGCCGTGTGAAAGTTATGGCATTGTCCTGCCGTTCGCGGAATCCGTTGCCAACAGCAGAGGGCCGCCGAGTTGCTCCTCTGTGACGCGGCTCCGAGAATTCGAACGTTTCAGGGTCGCGGATCGGCCGACTTTTGAAGTTGATGACAAGATTCGGATCTGATCCACGGAGCGAAATCGATGCGGAGAGCGACGACGGCGAGTCAGCTGCACTGTTATCCGGCTTCTTGGTACATCACAAAGAATCGAGTCGAGATGACACCACTGAAGTCACCAGAACACCAATGACAACAAAAACTCACACGCACACATCGGAGGTGATGTTTTTCGTTATACGCACGCACGCACACCACCGTGTGCTCGCTGCTTGCTGTCCGTGGTGCGCTGCCGCTGCTGCTTCGAAGCGAACGAGCGAATGAACGTCGAACCGACCATTCAGCCGGCCAAACAGCAAGGCAGGCAGACCGCTAGCTAGCCAGACGACCGACCGACCATCCAACCAACCATCCAGTCAGTCAGTCGACCAACAGACGAAGCAAACGGGTAGACAGACAGGCAGGCCGCCAGGCAGACAAGCTGTATGGTCGTCGTCGTCGAAGTAAGAGCATAGAGGGAGCTGTTGTGTTGTACCACCCTGCGCGCGCAACTACTAGAAAGCAGCGCGCGACCACCACCACCAACATCAGTGTCGCGTGAGAGTAGTCCGCCCGCCAGCCAGCCCGCCACTCAGCCAGCAAGCCGGACCGAGTGGTGGACCGATTGACCAACTGAGGTACCGTAGGACCATCTGATCGACTAACTGCTCGCCCATTCGCCGGTCTCAGATGTCGTTCCTCTCTAATCTCCGTCAGACTCAGGCCTGCGGCGGCTGCCATCGCGGAGATTGCCGATGGAAATCTAGACGAACGGCTTACCACGGGGAAAATCAGCTGTTCAATGAACCCTATGGCTTCCGCTGATTTCTATCACTGATGGATGGAATCGCAACGAATTTCCTATTGGATTCTCCCGGAATGCTGGCGAGCATCAAGAGACTGAATCCTTTTCAAAGCGGGACAGGAAGATGTCTCGGGTAGGAAGCATTCTCACTAGGCACCAGCTCCGTCAGTAGCTGTAGCCCGCTCTTCAGAGAAAAGTTCTGGCAACCCGGCTTCACTGATCGTCGCTCATACATACATACATAGAAGGCGACGGCGATTCGCCGACTTGCCGCGACTGCTGACCCTGTCAACGATTCGTATCTGGATACGAACCAGTCATCAGACCGCGGCTTTCGACGGCGGGATCATCGACTTTGACGAAATGATTATCTCAGTCAGAAAGATAATTCTCCCAGCGGAACGCCGCGCTCCACGCTAGCACGTCCGATACGTACTCGAGACTTGGAACGAGGTTGTTATCTGGTTCAATAATCCCGAAGCTTCAGCTCGCATCGTCGGTGCTATATTCATCTGCCTGATGAAAACATTCAATTCGTCGGAGCTTGGCCTTTCGACGAATACCGAATCATTCCCACTCCGAGAACGAAGAGACAACTCGTCGTCCTTGTCGTCCGATCAGCATCGACATCGGTAGGAAGCACGACGGCCGCCTACGGGTGTATGTATCACATCCGTCGTTTCGAAAGGACTCGACGCGCGGAAGTCGGTTGGAAAACGGAATCCTCTCGCAGCGGGCTCGTGCGTGTGGGATTTTGGGAAACAACTAAGAAGCAAGCCCATCTAAAATATGGCTCCCGCGAGCGACTTCGTGCTCGTTGTTGGTAACTCGATTTGAAACGCCTAGAGTCTGGTTTCTAGACGATCGGCCGTAACTTCGAGAAGCTCTGGCAAGAGCCGTCCCGCACCAGGTTCGCACGGGAGCGGAACGCTCTCCGTCTCTGACTCCGCCGAGTGAGCGTGGGCGGATACGCGAGCGTCATGATCGGTGAGAAACGTTCCCAAAATATTTAGAGGAATTCTGAATTTTTCCGAGAATATTGGAAACGGGACAACCCTCAGAGGAATTCCTTCCATGAAGAACCCACAGAAATGCTAAGTTCTCTGCTCGGTGTTCGGATCAATAAACGGAACACCTGTGGTATTCAAGGGCAATCCGTTCCGGCTACTACAACAACTCGAGCTTCACTGACCTGAATGACTATGTGCGAATTTCTGCAAAGCAAAAAAAGTGTTTGTTAGATGCGATCCTCTCTCCGGCCTTCTATGAGGTTCAATGGAACGATACCTACAAGCCCTACCAATCTCTCTCTGAGCGATATTGAATATGACGGCACGGCGACGACCACGATCTCATTACCCGAACTCGAATAAGTCAATCGTTCGTAAAGCTTCGAATGTTAATTCTTGGAGAGGTATCAGAGGGCGGACCCCGAATAGATTTTGCCTCGAATCCAATCCAAGGGGTGCGTGTATATCTGGCAAAGTCTTCTTTCGGCGTCTAGATTCGAGGTCCAGACAACAACTAGCCCTTGGAGAGTGAATACGTCAGAATCCGAAGTGAAGCGCTCGCCGAGCTACTCAAGTAGCACGACGCCGCAGCTCGATCGGACCACCCATCTCTTCCGTCCGCATGAGCTATAAGGGAGAGCGTTGAAAAGAAAATCACATACCCTCAGCGCAATCTCTCTCGGAGTACTCGATTCTAGAAAGTGCCTGGCTGGATTTTGATGTCTACCGGAGAGGCGTCCTGCCCTCCCCCCGCGAGAACCAACGGTGGGGCTAGACACGGGAACGCCCGTGGCGGATTGAATGCTACTCGTTTAGTTCCAAACAGTTCCCGTCGTTTCCTGATGGATAAGTTTCGATTCTCGCCGCCGGGGAGAGGCCTTCATCGCTGGCTGATATTCTCTTCCCTCGATCCCGAATACTATTCCCAAGCCGTTCACTCGGAACCTTTTTATCCGGCCTTAAGAATTCCTGAAGATCCTCTCTTGAGAGTGTCCTAAATCTGTCAAACACAGAACTCGAGTAGGGACTGGCTATGAATTATGACCGGCAAACTCATGGCACGAAATATGTGGAAGGTGGCTTGTAAATGTTCTGTCGGATTAGGGTAATAGAGCTGTCGCTTTCAAGCAGCCGACTTCGAATACAAGCCGCTCCATAATTACTGCTTGACGGAGTTCACTCAGGTGGCGGGCGCGCAAGCAAAAACTTTGTAGATGATCGCCTCCGAGACGGAATCACCCTTGGAGATACCGCATCATATTGGGTTTCGCGATACGTGGTGAGTTGCGCTCAATTCTAATCCCGCATGGAGTCTTTACGCCGAATCTAGCGCAGCCTCCGATCGAACGTAAGGCAGGGAAAACTTTGAGGAAGCAAGGAAAATGCGATGGGGAGTCGAGGTACCAATTTCTCTTCACTCTACGTCATTGACTGTCGCATCGAGGGGGAGAGCGGCAGAATGATTCAGCATCCAAATGCCTTCGTTCAGAAAATATACCAATATCGATGGCGAATGGAACGAAGCTCTTCCTGTGCGGAGATGGCATCTGCCATGGAGCCTCCCCGAGCGGAGTACTGGGATGCCATGAGGAAAGAAACTCGTCCCAGGTTTCCCTTCGTGACTCATTCAGGCAGCTCGCAATCGCTGTGCTCGGGACGATTTCACATGCATCACCATGAGAGAGTTCCTCGATGGCAGTCACCGACACTGATGGAAAGGGTCGCCGGAATCTTGGATCATTTTCAAGACCAAACAAGATGATAAGTTAATTCGAGCTCTGATGTCGGTAACCATAAAATAAAGTTGAATCAATATAAGGCGTATGCTCTAACAGTAACATTTCGTGGCTTCAACGATGTCGTCATGGTGTGAATGATACGGTGCGTATTTGACCCTGGAGTTCGTCGCGGAAGTTCCGCTTTTTTCGCTGATATTCCGGCTCGCCCCAAAACTTCAAGAGGCTCGAGTCACCCACGACGCTCTCCTTAGCGGGGAGAATCCCGAATTCGTAAATTATTCGTGTGTCTTTGATAGCGGCATGGCACTCGGCCGCGAGTTTGAAAGGCCAGGACCTAGCGTCAGGTTCTCCTGCACTGGCCTAGATTCAGCGTGGTAAGGTGCCCTGCCATGTCATGATGACGCCAAGGTGGCCTCCTCAAGCGGGTGGAATCCCACAACCGTGGCGCCCCACAAAGTCTCGGAGCATATTAGCAGGATATCGGAATACCGGACGGGTTGGGTTACCTTTATATTGCGCCACGTACTGGGGACCGGAGGATTTCAATCAAGATTCCCGTCTTCGAGGGGGTACGAATTCGGGCTGACGTAAAGATTGCTCGGCTCGCTGCCATTCGAGTTCTCGAAAGTGTCCTCCTTAGCGGTCCTGGCGCTCGATCGTGATGCCAAAAGGCCTGAACCTAGGGTCAGTTATTTCTGCACTGTCCCGGATTCAGCGTAGTAAGGTGACTTGCCATGTGATTGAGGAATCTTTTTTCAGACGAATCATATCATTCATGTAATAATATCATTCGTCTTTCATAGCGGCAATGGCCCTTGACACATCCGAATTATGTGAAACCAAACATCCTATGAACCTATGACTCAAGACATTTATCGTTCTCTTCTGGAGCAACCCGAAAGATATTATCCACTTGTTGAAGTAATGAGACAATCCGACAAGGAATTTTCTCCAATTTTAACGAAGATAGGAAATGGGTATCGTCTCGAAATCCATGAACGGACCCTTATTGAATCGCGTTTCCGAACACGCAAATGGTGCGAAGATAACAGTGAATTCATTGATGCTCGCTCCAAAGTTTACAAAATGTCCACTGCTGAGAGCGGATATTTGATATATAATCTTCCCTTAGCTTTGAATCAGCTCTATATGAGAACTTGTAATATTGACGTTGATGACGGTATTGTCAACCGGTCCATTGGAACGCTGTAGTATGTAGATTTTTTTGATAGTGATAATGAGATCAATGATCTCCAGTCACTAGCAGAAGACTTCACCCTTTACTATGCTTATGGTACAACAGCCTCTGGAATCACCCAATTGAGAAACGAGATAACCCGATGGGAAAAACATAGATTCGATACCTTAGATCATGATACCCTAGGAAAAATGGCTCGATTCTAAAGATTGCTAGTAGTAGGTTTCAAGTGAGTGCGAGTCTCACACTGTGCATAAGGCATCTTCCTGCTTTCGAGAAAACAAAGAAAGAAAAAACAAATGAACATTATCTTCGAAATTCTATTCTCATTCTTAATATCGATACGAGACTCCTTATTCTTTCTGTAAATACCAGGATGATGGTTTACTGTCTCTCTCATCATCGACGATATTCGAGAGCTTAGCCATCGTCAAGCGTAATCCTACGCTATTCCCTCAAATCTTGACTCATTAAGACTCTGAGATTCCTTGAATCAAGAGGATTCCCGAACGCGTGGGGTCGATCTATGCTGGGAAATCGCAATCGTACCTTAGTTCCCTGAACCGATTGACCTTGTGGAGCCTCAAGTTCTTCTTGAAGGGTATTCACAGAGTCGGGAAAGCAATCATCGCTTCTCCAACGGAACAGATCGGCAAATGACAGACGTCCAACTTCACGGAACGCCAGTATCCGACGGCTCCGGAGGGATCACTCGAGCCCGCGCTCTCAGCCGTGAAAACAGCAAACCCTAATGGATTACTAATTCTGGTTCATCTCCAGGAAGATCCTTCGCTCGCTTCTCGCCGGTGCTTTGTCTCCTTCCTTTCCCATCCTTTTAAGCTCTACCCCCGGCGACCGAAGGCCCCCGCCGTACTAAGCCCTCGCTCGAGTTATTTACGGCGTTTCCGTGAGGATGCGGCGGCCCTCATTCCGAGCGAGAGCTCTGTGGGTCGGCACGAAGCGCTCCTCTAGGTGCTCGATATCGTTTCTCTTCATAGCACGCAGAGTCGTCTCAGTATGATTTGCATCTAGGAGGAGTCCCATTTTACATTATTTTCAGTCCTGAGGAGACCCAAGGCTCGTTGTTCGGAGACGTTCCGCCCTCATCCCTGATTCGGGAGCAAAGGCAGCTCATTTATTCGAATTGGTGATCTCTGAACGCAGGAAAAGAAGCTCCCAACACAGTTCTCGCCGAACCCGATCGAGAGCTGAGCTGGATCTCATTCTTCAGCCAAACCCCATGTTCTGGATCCTCTCGAGAGGAACATACGAGACTGATTTCCCGGACCGAACCGTAATCTGATGGACTTCTACGTTCCGGGTATCGTTGAGTAGCCGCGCTTCGTTGCCGTATGCGCCGAGAGGTCGTAACCTTCTTCGAAGAGAGCACTTCCCGCGATTAATCGCACGGTGAGAACAGGAGGGAAATATCGGCAATGAGCATTTTAATGAGGATCTCCCCCCCCCTGATTATATTCTTCCAGCATGACAATCGATGCGGAGCGGATTCCTCGTACGTTCTCGCCATCGGGCGACACCTTCCCCGCCAGGAGTCTCTCTTGCACTCAATGTCTCAACATCGGGAAGTCTGAGATTCCTCTCGGAACCCATGGAAAAGGGCTGTCGTGTTGGAACGAGGAAATTCTCCTGAACGGATCCGCAACAAAGCCGAATCCGTGCTGCAGACAACGCCCAATGCGATATTATACAATGTTCTCGTCCGAGACAGAGGTCACCGGTCCGAGTGCGCCCGACTGCGTGCGATGCAAGACTACCTCGACGCGATGCTCGATTCCGGTGCCTCGAGCCAAGTCATGTTCTTTTGAGGAGCCCGAGTATGGTTGTTCTTCGGCCGTGGACGCTAATTTTGATTGCTCTCGAATCGAGCATGCCGTACAGAAGGGACACTGAATAAGAGTGAGCCAGACACTCATGACCATTCAGAGCTCTCTTGTTTCAAAAAATGATTCAAAACAAAAGAAATCCGAGGGAGACCTGTCACCGCGGGTGAACATCCGTCGCCAGCTCTGTGGGACATCGCCGATGGCCACTCTCGTTCCGACCCAACGAGAGTTTGACCGAGCCTTCGTCCGGACTTTTGTCCTCTATCTAGTTGTAATGCGAGTATACCGAACAGAGAATCCGCACCGTGTAGCTTTCTCTCTCTCTTTGTTATTCAAGCCGCTCTGTTGCCTGTAGTTCTCCAGCAGATAATCCTTGGGCGCGGCAGTCGCAATGAGGTAGAAGCCAACGGCAGAGAACGCGCA